TGTGGTGGTGGGGGTTTGGTGTGGGGGTTTGTTGTGTGTGGTGGGGGGTGGGTGTGGGGTGTTGGGTTGTGTGTGGGTGGGGTGTGTGGGGTGTGTGTGGGGTTGGGGGTGTGTGTTGTTGGGGTGGTGTGTGTGGGGTTTTTGGGTGTGGGGTGGTTTTTGTGTGGGGTGTGTGTGGTGGGTTTTGTGTGGTGTGGGTGGGGGTGGGGTGTGTGTGTGTTTTGTGGTGTGGGGTTTGGTGTGGTGGGGTTTTTGGGTGTGGTGGTGGTTTGTGTGGTTGTGTGTGTGTGTGGTGTGGGTTGTGTGTGGTTGGTGGTGGTGGGTGTGGTTTTTTGGGGGTGTGGTGTGTGTTTGGGGGGTGTTGTGGTGTGTGGTTGGGGTGTGGGTGGTGTGGTGGTGTGTGGGGTGTTTTTGGTGGTGTGTGTTGGTGGGGGTTTGGGGTGTGTGTGTGTTGTTTGTTGTGTGGGGTTTTTGTGTGTGTGGGGGGGTGTGGGGGTGGTGTGTGTGTGTGTGGTGTGTTTTGTGGTGTGTGGGGTGTTTGTGTGGTGGTGTGTGGTGGTGGTGTGGGGTTTGTGTGTGTGTGGGGTGGGGGTGTGGTGTGTGTGTTGGTGTGTGGGTGGTGTGTGTGTTTTGGGGGGGGGTTTTGTGTGTGTGGTGTGTGTGTGTGGTGTGTGTGGGTGTGTGTGTGGTTTTGGGGTGTGTTTTGGGGTGTTGGTGTTTTGGGGGTGTGTGTGGGGTGTTTTTGGGGGTGTGTGGTGGGTTTGTGTGTTGTGGTGTTTTTGGGTGTGTTTTTTGGTGGTGTGTGTGTGTTGGTGTGTGTGGGTGTGGGTGTGTTTTTGGTGTTTTTTGTGTGGTGGGTGTGGGTTTGTGTGTTGGTGTGTTGGTGTGTGGGGTGTTTTGGGTGTGGGTTGGGGTGGTGTGTGTGGGGGTTTGGGTGTGTGTGTGGTGTGTGGGGGTGGTGTGTGGTGGGTGTGTTGTGGGTGGTGGTGTGTGGGGTGGTGTGTTGGTGTGTTTTGGTGTGGGGGGTGTGGTTTTGTGTGGTGTGGGTTGTTGTGGGTGTGTGGGGTGTGGTTGGTGTGTGGGGGTGGTGTGTGGGTGTGGGTGTGGGGGTTGTTTTGGGTGTGGGTTTGTGTGTGGTGTGTGGTGGTGTGTGTGTGGGGGTGGTTTTTGTGTGGTTTGTGTGTTGTGGGGTGTGTTTTGTTTGGGTTTGTGGTGGGGTGTTGTGTGGTTGGGGGGTGGGTTGGTGTTTTTGGTGTGGTGTGTGTTGGGGGTGTGTGTGTGTGGGTGGGGTTGTGGGGGTTGGTGTGGGGGTTTGTGTGTGTGTGTGTGTGTGTTGTGTGTGTGTGTGTGTGTGTGTGTGGTGGGGGTTTTTTTTACCACCTATTTGTGTTGGGGGGGTGGGTTCCAGCCCCGGGCCCCGCCTCTTCCCCGTTTCACTAGGTCCTTCTCCCCGCCCGGAGCTTAATCAAACCTTTTTTTAAACTTGTAGGGGTTCCTGCCTCCACTACCCCTTTTAAAACATTCCACTCCTTACAAATCTTTTAAAAAAAATTTTTTTAAACCTTGATCATTGTGTTTATTTCCCAATTGTCCCCTTTTTCTGTGTCCCCCCCTGGAAAACCCCCGTCTTTTTTCCCCCCCTTTTTTCCCCCCAATTTTTTTTTTTTTTCCCCTGCCCTCCTTCCCCCCCCTTGGTCCCTTTTTCCCCTTTAACTTTTCCCCATTGGAACCCCAGTCTGGTTTTTTTTAAAATTTTTATTTTAGTTTCTTGGGGGTTTCAACGGGTTTCCCAAAAGGGCCAAATACCCGTAGGCCAAAATTTTGTTTGAAAAAATTCCTTTGGGGTTGGTTTTGTTGGGTTTTTGGTGTTTTTGTTGTTTGGGGTTTTGTTTTTTTTGGGGTTTTTTTTTTGAGTGGTTGTGTTTGGGTTTTTTTTTTGGGGGGTTTTGGGTTTTTTTGGTTTTTTTTGCTGTGGTTTTTTTTTGGAAGGGGGTGTGGGGTTGGTTTTTGGGGGGTTTTTGGGTTTGGGTTTGGGTGTTTTTTTTTTTTTGGTGGTTTGGGGTTTTTTTTTTTTTTTGGGTTTTTTTGGGGGGGGGGGGGGTTGGGGGTTTTTGGGGGGGGGTTTGGGGGGGGTTGGGGGTTGGGGTTTTGGGGGTGGGTTTTTGGGGGTTTTGGGGTTTTTTTGGGTTTGTTTGTTGGTTGGGGGGGGGGGGTTTTTGGGGTGGGGTTTTTGTTGGGGTTTGGGGGAGGGTTTTTTTTTTTTTTGGGGTTTGTGGGTTTTTTTGGGGTTGGGGGTTTTGGGGGTTTGGGGGGGTTTTTTGGGGGTTTTGTTGTGGGGTTTTTTTGGTGTTTTTTTTGTTTTTTGGGTTTTTTTTTTTGTGTGGGGGGTTGGGGGGTTTTGTTTTGTTTTTTTTGTTGGATTTTGGTTTTTGGGGGGGGGGTTTGGGGGGGGTTGGGGGGGGTTTTTTTTTTTTTGGTTTTTTGGGTTTTTTTTTTTGGTGGGTGTTTTTTGGGTGTTGGGTTTTTTTTTTGGGTTTTTTTTTTTTTAAATTTTTAAAAAAATTTTTTTTTTTTTTTAAAAATTTTTTTTTGAAAAAAAAGGGGGGGAAAAAACTTTTTGGTACCTTTTTACGGGTTTTTCCCCAACCGCCTAGGGGTTTTCCCCAAAGGGGGGGCCCCAACATTGGCATTTTGCCTGGGGGGGGGCAAAGTGTGTGGGATTTTTTTTTTGGTGGGGTTGGGGGGGTTTTTTTTTTTTTTGGGGTTTGGGGGGGGGGGGGGGGGGGGGGGGGGGGTTTTTTTTTTGGAAATTTTTTGTTTTGGGTTTTGGGGGGTTTTTGGGTTGGGGTTTGGGATTTTGGGGGTTTTAAAAAAAAGGGGGGGGGGGGTTGGGGGTTTTTTTGGGGGGTTTTTTTGGGGGGGGGGTGGGTTTTTTTTTTTTTTTTTTTTTTTGTTTTTTAAGGTTGTTAAAAATTGGGGGGGGGGTTTTTTTTTTTGGGGTTTTAAAAGGGGGGTTTTTTTTTTTGGGGGGGGGGGTTTTTTTTGGGGGGGAAAGGGTTTTTTTTTGGGGGGGGGGTTTTTTTTTTTTTGGTTTCTATTTACAAGGAGGTGACAGGTCCTTAGCTTCCAACTATAGCTACTTCTATAGTGGGTAAATTTATGGAATCAATAATTGCCAAAGCAATTCATAGACATCTTGAAAGGCATATATTGATTAATGAATCTCAGCACGGTTTTTCAAATGGGCGTTCCTATCTTACGAATTTACATTCTTCACTAAGGTATTTGAGGAGGTAGATCATGGTATTGAATATGATATTGTGTATATGGACTTCAGTAAGGCTTTCAATAGAGTTCCACATCAGAGGCTGTTGAGAAAACTTAAGGCACATGGAATAGGAGAATTTTTTTCCTGGGTAGAGGCATGGCTGACAAACAGGCAGCAGTGTGTTTGCATTAATGGGGAGAAATCAGAATGGGGGCACGTCACAAGCGGTGTTCCACAGGGCCCCTTGTTCACAATCTACATAAACGACATAGACGAGGGAATAAACAGCGACATAAGCAAATTTGCTGGCGACACCAAAATAGGCCGTCCAATTCATTCTAATGAGGACATTAGAGCACTCCAGGATGATTTGAATAGACTGATGTAGTGGTCGGAAAAGTGGCAGATGCAGTTTAATATTGACAAATGCAAAGTTCTAAATGTTGGACAGGAAAATAACCATGTCACATATAAACTAAATAATGTAGATCTTAATATTACGGATTGTGAAAAGGATTTAGAAGTTCTGGTTAGCAGTAATCTGAAACCAAGACAACAGTGCATAAGTGTTTGCAATAAGGCTAACAGAATCCTTGGCTTCATATCAAGAAGTATAAATAATAGGAGTCCTCAGGTTGTTCTTCAACTCTATATATCTTTGGATAGGCCTCATTTAGATTATGCTGCACAGTTTTGGTCACCGTATTACAGAATGGATATAAATGCTCTGGAAAACGTACAAAGGAGGATGACAAAGTTGATCCCATGTATTAGAAATCTTCCCTATGAGGATAGACTGAGGACCTGAATCTGCACTCTCTAGAATGGAAGACAGGAATAAATAAAGGGGATGTAAATAGCGTACTAAAAATATTTAACACAGACAGGACTCGCAGGAAATGGTTTTGAACTGAAAAAATTCAGATTCAGGAAGGATATAGGAAAGCACTGGTTTGGTAATAGCTGTGGATGAGTGGAACAAACTCTCGAGTACAGTCACAGAAGCTAAGACGTTGTGTAGTTTTAAAAATAGGTTGGATAAATACATGAGTGGGTGTGAGTTGGACCTGACTAGCTTGTGCTACTAGGTCGGATGCCGTGCTCTCCTGTAGGTGACGTGACTGACCTGACTAGGTCAAGGCGTTGGCTTAAGCCGGTGGAAGAATTGGACCTGCCTCGCATAGGCAAGTAGGCCTGCTGTAGTGTCCCTTCTTATATCTTATGTAATGTTTCAACCCGTGCAGGGGATCGAACCACGGACCTCAACACGTAACATTACACTTAATGGAAAACGCTAAACCCGTAGTGGTCATGCAATGTTTAGGGAATGGAAGGTTATCAAGGTTTTATCTGAGAAAACTGTTACTCCATTTCCTCGGATCATGAGCAATGTTGCTTAAAAAAATATTACTTAGTGCCCATAGGATTGTTGTATATTCTTTCGTGATTTTGCTTAACTATTTTTAGTATTATTATTACTTAAAGTTGTAATTAAGTATCCAAATATTTTTTAATGACCCTTGAATGGACATCCTAGTCATTCGAAATCCGTCTGTCTTCTAATTTTAATCAGTTTTTCCCACAGGCTCTAAACATAACTGTCTCCAGTGCACAACCCGCTTCTTGCTGGAGAATTTACATAAGTAAATTACTGATAGTACTAAAAAAATAATAACAATAGTAATACTAATCTTCTACTACTAATAATAATAATTTCCGTTTTCCTTTACAGACTAAAGCTCACTTGGATGTGTTAGCGGACGCCATTATCCGGTGGGCGCGGGGAGGGAAGTGATACCGGTCGTAGAAATCTCCACCCATCGTTCCCCTTCCCCTCAAAACTTCCCTCTTCCCATTTCCCACTCACCCCAAACATACCTCCCCATCCCCCTCACGCAATAGCCACCTGCTGATCCAGCCTCCGTCCCCAGACACCGGGACCTTCACTACTACTAACTACTACTACTATTACTGCTACCACCACCACTACCTCCAGCACTCTGGCCAACCATCACCAAGGGGAATACGCCCATGGTTAACGTACCAGGCTAAATATTTGTAGGAATCAAGACATGTCTTGAAGGCAATAATATTAGCATTTGCAATAAATCTTTGTATATGAGAGGAGGTACACGGATTTTCTTTTTTTTTCAAAAAAAAAAATATTGTAGGTAATGCTACAAGCATGAGTTGCTAAAGGGAAATATATATGGTGGACCAGGTGGGACTAGGCATCACCAAAACGATCAAAAAATAAAAAAAAAATAAACAGGCTGGATATTCAAATACCCAAAAACAAAACTGAAAATTTGGAAAAAAAGGGGGGGCAAAAGTTGCTTTCTGGGTGTTAAAGGAGCCCTCTAACGCAGAAAAAAAATTAGTATCTACAACTGTCAAATAATTATCTATCGCTGCAAAGAATTGTTTACCGGTGAAAAACTAAACTGCAGTGGACATACGGAAGAAACAGCTGTCTGGAGCCTAGTGCAGCATCGTGCAGCCATAACTGCCCAAGATGATCTGTTCGATGAGCACTTGATGACCTAATGACCCCGACCTGAGCCACGGGGTTCACTAGGTCAATCACTGTGTTCCCGAACTACGGCACGTGTAAGTAGACATCGAGACTGGTTGACGACGATCGCAACAGAATGGCGTCCCACCTCTTAACAGCAAGTCATCCTCCGAGGATCCTTCAGCTGGGTTCGCGAGATACTGTTAACGGACAAGCGCTACAGAATGGCGTCTCTGCTCTACAATAAGCAATCCTCCACAAATCCTCCAGCTGGATTCGCGACACCGTGAAACGGACGTGATCAATGGGATGGCATCCCACCCCTACAATGAGCGATGGTACCTAGATACCTCAACTTTGTTCCAAAACCTTCGAGGCAGCGAGGCTGATCCTTCTGAGGGGATCAGCAATTCTACCCGTTCAGCTGTAATTAGCCGCGGGTCGCATCCCAAGAACCTCCGGTCAAAACCGAGGGACAAAAGCGCCTTCATCCAGCAAGCCAGTCAGGAAGACTGCACCTTGCAAAGTCCCCTTCTGTTCAAGAACAGCAAAGTCCCCTTCTGTTCAAGAACAGTCATGATACCAGATAACACCAGTAGTAATAACAACACCAATCTCTGGAGTTGATGTGTTAAATGTGTGTTTGTTAGAGTAACTCATCAGGGAGGTTAGTTTAAGTCGTCAGGGAAAGAATAGGAATGGAGGAGTGTCGAGTGGAGATTGCAGCATCCAGGAAGGGGGTGTGATACCTCCCCCTGCTTGCTCCCTCCCCTCCCCTCCTCCACACCTTTACCTGTGAGGTTATAATAGATTATTAAATAAGTTATACACTACATACTTCTCCCTTCTTCATCATTGGGAAAAAATAATCGCTTAAAATCGATAATCTATGATAATTTCACGTTATTATTTTTGAGAATATATATTTGTTACGCACTTGTTTAGAACCTGTGGTTATTAAAAAGAAAAATTATATATATAACTAATTTCATATATAATATATATATATATATATATATATATATATATTATATTTTATATATATATATATATATATATATATATATATATATATATATATATATTATATATATTGATTGTTCCTTTGCTTCTAAAGCAATTAGTTATATCAGATAAAGTTCAATAATTTTATGCATTCCTTCCTAAAAAAATGTATCAGTGGTTACGTAGATTTTTTAAAACTTTCCTCAATGCCTTTTTGAGTAGAGAATATATATATATATATAATATATATAATATATATATATATATATATATATATATATATATATATATATATATATATATATATATATATATATATATCATGACAGCTCAGTGTTAAAAATGTTCAGACTTTGAGAAAATAAATGCATAATTCCAGTAAAAATTAATTATTAATACATAATAAATGAGACAAGAGCCTGTCGTGTTAAGAACACAAGCGGAGTTTCCAGGAGGGAACTGGAGTGTGTAGAATTAGGTGGATAAAGTGACCCCCCCCCCCCTCCTTTCTGCTTCGAGGATTTACTCTCATTCAATTATGGTTGTTTTAATGGCAATTAAATCTGTGTGAATCAGTTTAGATGCATCAGATGATTAGTGCCAGAAGCGTGGGGAACAAAAACGAGTTTAATGGGTAGCAGCGTAGAAATCAAGTATTGGTTTACTGAGAGTGGGTGAGGAATCAAAAAATTCTCAAATGTCAAACAGCTGTGGACTGGATGCATATTGGTGACTGTACGGTGGCTGTTTTTAGGAAGATTACGAGTACTGGTGTGGTTATGACACCAAGTGAACGTTTCTAAACGTGCAGGTACGAAACCAGGTGGTTTCTGGAAAGTGCAGGTTTCCGGCACCCCTGCCGCCGTGTATGAATTATCAGTGCCCACACAGTGAAGGGGTTTCAAGCATGGAAAGATAACACGTAACAATCTCTTGATGTTTTACTACCAAGTATCAATATCCAGAACTGCTTCAAATATAGTCACAACAGTCTCCATACTTCTCATGGCCGAATGCAACCCCTCAAGATTCAACTACTTTTATGTTGTACATGTGAAGATTTTATCTTTAAGTAACAAGGACTTCAAAATTGCGAATCCAGTATTAAAGGATGAATTACAAGAATCCATAAGATTTTCATGAGGTCCAGTAACTCAAGAAACTGAACACTGGAAGGTCTCGTGAGGTACAATGTGGAAGCCTAGTAATTCCAGATGTGGAGGGCTGGAAAAATCTTGAGGTAGAGCACAAAAGCCAAGTAATTCTAAACGTGGAGGACCGGAAGCTCTTATGAGGAACAATGCGGAGGCCTAGTAATTCCAGAGGTAGCGGACTGGAGGGTCGAATTTAGGAACTTTTACGAGGCTGTTATTTTTTTTCCACAAAACCCGAGCCGCCAGCCACCTACCTCCGAGCAACCTAGAACTCGGCAAGTGAATGCTGCTATTTACTACACTAACAAGAGACTGGGATGCGCACGAAACGCTTGTAGCTGTGCTACTTGGCCAGCTGGAAGGTTCTAAAGCCTCACCAAGAGTCCAGCTGTTTGACAGTGTGTGTACTCCTTTGTAGTTGCAGGGATCGAGACTCAGCTCTTGGTCCAGTGTGTATTAGCCCAAGGAATTCAAGAGTACTGACAGCGTGCTGACTGTATACAGCAACCTACTGGCGACAGTGAAGAAAATACACAGGTATAGACAGATATAAAGCTGTTTATATTATCCACCTGACCGTTCATCAGGGTCTTGATTGTTCTTGAGATGTGCACGTTGTATGTGGACTGGTACCGGATAAGAACTGGACTGGTACCTGACAGGAACTGGACTGGTACCTGACAGGAACTGGACTGGTACCTGACAGGAACTGGACTGGTACCTGACAGGAACTGGACTGGTACCTGATAGGAACTGGACTGGTACCTGACAGGAACTGGACTGGTACCTGACAGGAACTGGACTAGTACCTGATAGGAACTGGACTGGTACCTGACAGGAACTGGACTGGTACCTGACAGGAACTGGACTGGTACCTGATAGGAACTGGACTGGTACCTGATAGGAACTGGACTGGTACCTGACAGGAACTGGACTGGTACCTGACAGGAACTGGACTGGTACCTGACAGGAACTGGACTGGTACCTGACAGGAACTGGACTGGTACCTGATAGGAACTGGACTGGTACCTGTTGAAGCCATCAACAATTACAAAAATATTTTACAACCGTAATGATGTCAAAACTGTAAGCCCTGAAAGATATATTTAAATAACAATTACAATTACCTGCCTCGCATGGGCCAGTAGGCCTTCTGCAGTGTTCCTTCGTTCTTATGTTCTTATGTAATTAAGTATTCCACTTCAAATTCAATCTTGAATTTATTGAAAACAAACACATCTTAACCGTATAGAAATTGTTAAAAGCCTATTACACTTTTGCATACCGATGCCTATAACGAACCATAATTAAAGCCTATGAGTTTTAATAACATGTTGCGTAAAACATAACCAACATACGGATATTTAATATCTGTAAGAACATTCACGTCTCCATACATATAAGAATAAATACACCTGCTTCTTAAGTGGAGCTCCAGACACTTTACACTTATCGGAAACTACGTTAACAAAAAATGAATGAATGAAAAAAAAAAAGAGAGGCCCATTCAAAAATCAAACGACACCGTCAGGTTAACATACTTCAAAAATAATACACTTTCAAACCAATATAATTCAGACTACAAAATTTATAACACGAGTCTCTCTTAAAAATTAAATACTTTTGTCTACGGTATAGTAGCATTTTCCACGTTTTTTTTAATGCTATTCAAACTAGAGTTTCTTCAAATATGTGGCTTGGACAAAATAGAACCCTCCCCCTACCTATAAGGGTGTGACTGTAAAAAATTTAGGAGGAAAAGAATGGGGTCAATTCAGAGTTAATGGGGGTCCTGTCCACGAGCCTATTATCTGCATCTAAGCTTTTATACCCAGCCTACAGAATGGGTATAGGGTGGCTACCACCCACGGGAAGGGTATGGGGTGACTACCACCCACAGGATGGATATGGGGTGACTACCGCCCACGGGATGGATATGGGGTGACTACCGCCCACGGGATGGATATGGGGTGACTACCACCCACGGGATGGATATGGGGTGTCTACCACCCACAGGATGGATATGAGGTGACTACCACCCACAGGATGAATATGGGGAGACTACCACCCACAGGATGGATATGGGGTGACTACCACCCACAGCATGGATATGAGTGACTACCACCCACAGGATGAATATGGGGAGACTACCACCCACAGGATGGATATGGGGTGACTACCACCCACAGGATGGATATGGGGTGACTTACCACCCACAGGATGGATATGGGGTGACTACCACCCACAGGATGGATATGGGGTGACTACCACCCACAGGATGGATATGGGGTGACTACCACCCACAACCCAATACACTTGTCCCTACACAAAACAAAGTCTTTCACAATAATGTGAATATTGAAGTCACTACAAAGAACTACTTATAACAATATCAACATCTGCTGAACCAGAATGGTTGGCCACCTTTTTCACCTGATCCAAAGAAAAACAACCTAATGGAAAAGATTGTATAATCACCTGATACTGAGGTCAACCACCTAATACTGAGGTCAACCTCCTGATACTGAGGCCAACCACCTGATACTGAGGTCAACCATCTGTTTCACCTGTTGAAAAAAGGCTGTGAGAACCACCTGATGAAAAAGGCTGCCAGAACCACCCGTTTAACACCACCTGACGCAGATGTCAGAACCACCTGTGTCACCTGATGGAAGAAGCTACCAGCTACCTGCAACTAGCTGACAAGAAGCCATCCACCGGATTCACCTCAATGAAGAGGCTGCCAACCACCTGTAACCAGCTGGATGCAAAGGCCACTCACCTATTTCGCTTTCATGCCAGAGGCTACTAACCACCTGCCGGAGGTCGTGTGTGTGTGTGTGTGTGTGTGTACTCACCTAGTTGTGGTTGCAGGGGTAGAGTCACAGCTCCTGGCCCCGCCTCTTCACTGGTCGCTACTAGGTCACACTTCCTGCTCCATGAGCTTTATCATACCTCTTCTTAAAGCCATGCATGGATCCTCCTGTGTATGTGTGTGTGTGTGTCAACGGTGAGATGGTGGGGGCAGGTGACACACCCCTCGGCAATAATTTAGGTGACTTCAAGTGTGCTCACCTGGGTGAGGGAGTAAGGGGGAGATGTCTGCCCCTCTTCCCCACTCCCCCAGCCCCACCCCAGCCTCTCCCACCACCCCCACCACCCCAAGGACGGTCGCTGGGTCCAGCAGTATATGTGGTTGGTGTTTTTGTTTTCCATTTAACGATATTTTAGTATTAATTAAAGTACACTAAAAAGTATTCTTAAAACACCATGCCTGTGTGTTAATACTTTGCCATGTCGCCCGCGACATGGAATCCACAGAGGGCCCCTTCTCACACGGTCCTGACGGCTCCCGCATGCGGTCCGTGTATGTAGAGTCCCTCTTAGCGGCAATTCGGCTCGCTAGGCTAGGGGCCCGATGGGCCCCCGCCTCGCGGCCCGGTCCCGCGGTACTGTAGAGAGCCGGCCCAGCCCGATGGGCCCCCCTCCAAAAGCACCGAGCATGAGCCCGGTGGTTGATGGGGGGCCCCCCCAGCTTTCAGGCACGGGCATGGGCCTGGCCCACTGGGGTCATACGCTTTTTGTATCCAGCACACGGGGGGTTAACTACCCCCTGTGTGTTTGTTGTCGCATCACGCCCACACCCTACCCACGCCCACAACCCACCCACGCCCCCAACCAAGGCCACCCACTTGCATACCCCCGCAGCCGCTCACACCCACGGCCAGTCACGCCCACACTTGCCCACGCCCTCACCTATCTTTTCAAAACCCTTTTCACCTCCCGA